TACGAAAGGATAATAGCTAACTTTGTTAACTCTGTATATTATTCTCAGCAACTTGAAAATTATTTGATTTATAATTATGAAACAATGAAAAGGCAACTCTTGATCTTCTAGATCTTATAAAAAATAGATTTGCTTATTGGCAATTAACAAGTAACCAATTAAGTTGAAAATTTCATTAAATTACTCCTCCGCAATGTAATGGAACACCATTTGTAAAATATTCTATTATTTATGCATTGACTTACAAAAGCAGGTAAGCACATAATAAAAATATTTTTTTCTTTAATTTTTTATGTTTTATTATTTGTATAAAATGACAATATTATTTATCATGAAAAGATTGAGCTTGAAATATAATTTAATAACTTTAACGCAGCTTTTGTTCTAATTTAGAAAGTGAGCAATGCCCCTGATTGTAATTTTTTCTTTCTTTTGAAGCGGTGGCTGTGTTTTGATTTTAAAAATGAATTTTTTCGAATTTTATGTATATAGTTTTATGAACAAGATGCATGTGAATTACAATTTTTGAAAAAAAAAACAAGAATTGTGATTTTAATTCGTGTTAAATAATCTTTGTTTTCACGTGAGAATTTTGCTACATTTCTATTTTGATACAAACGTTGGTGATTAAATCAAAATTGGGATTGTCCCAAAAGATTATCTCAACAGCGGATTATTAAATTGGAAGTCGTTGCATATTGGAATAAGATAGCATCATGTCTTACAGAGAATGATGGCTCTGTTGCTGATGGGATGCAAAAGTAGAGAATTTCGCAAATAAAAATGACAGTGGAAAAACCAAATGGAATAGAAATATCCTTATCATTATTATGAACATTACGCAGATTTTCTCCATTCTTCTAATGACAACTATAGTTTATTTTACAAAAAAAAAAAAAAAAAAATTTAAAAAATTATTCTAATTCTCTAAAATTTATTATGAACATTATACAAGTTTGCTCTTCCTTTCAAATGATGATATTTGCATTTGAGCGTAAAGCAGAATGTTTGTTTGTATCAAATGGGCTGCATTTTGGCCGCTAAGCCATTTGCATACACGGCCAGTCCCTAACAGTTGAAGCTATTTCATTGGTTGAACTATCTAGTGGAGACTTCCACTACCAAATTGTGAGCGTAAAAAATGAATAAACATTAGGTGTACATTAGGAACATTTTTTCTTTTTCTAAAGAAAGTTGTATTTTAATATAAAAAAGAAGAACGCAATATATACACGATTGATAAAATTTTGCTATATTTTATAGTTAATAAAGTTATAGGAATAGGAATCTATCTCAATTCCAGACACGAATTTGTTTTACATCATGGAATGTAGTAAAATAAGTTTCAACCACAAAATATATACATACAGCAGTGCTTCGCAAACTTTCAATACTTGCGACCCAATATTCAATTTAAATTTTCATCGCCCCCGCCCTCCATACAATAACAATGTATTGAATTCGATAATGCGATACTTTGATGCTAAAGCTACAAGACAACTTTAACCTCTTAAGTGCCGCCGACGTATATAAACGTCTAGTTCAGCCAAAGCGCTAATTGCCCCCAACGTATATGTACGTCTTTCAAAAATACGATCTTTTCTGCTTACTGCTATCCATAATATTATTCAGAAGGCTTTGGAATGCAATAAAAGGACCTTGACAGTGTTTGCGAAGGAGTTACCTATTTCTGAGGAACTCCTTAGTTATTCCCTTTCTTTCCCCCTCGAAAAAAAACAATACATATGCGTGCATACGTACAAAACGGTGGCATTGAGAGTGAATCGCATAACTTTTAATTTGCAATTAAGGGATTAATTATAAGCCGTACAAAAAAAATGATCGCGATAAGTGTTAATTTTTGCATTTAATTTTATATTTGACAACCGGTGCGGTCACTGGCAATTATTTATCTTGTTCTTAACTTAGTATTGTAAAGATAATTATAAAGTTCATTGTGCAGTACTGATACACATTTATAAATTATTATACCCACATAAATGTATTTTTTTTCTTAATATGGCAAAATGTATTTTGTTTATTTTACTTTCAAAAAAATTTTAAAAAATTCGAAATAATCTTTTGTTTTCGACTTTTCAATATGCTCGCGCCCCCCTTCTAGGGTTATCACGTCCCCTTAGGG